TAAAGATGATGAATCATGGCATGTCCACGAAGAAAACTTGAAGATTGATCCTCCGGTCGAAGACCTTGAAAAAGACATTGAGGTTCATGAAGTGATCGTCACCATATTCTCAAAAGAGCCGATCGACCTGAGGAACCGTGTGGACGAGCCCATCAGAGGAGCTGTACCTGATACCGAAGTCGAGGTAATCAACCCGATCACAGGGGAACTCGAAAGAATCAAGACTAATGACCCCTCATTCTATGACGCAGGTGGATTTAAAGCAAGAAAATACAAAAATTCAAGCAAACCAAAGGACATCCCTCCATTTGTTTGGCAAGCAATGTCTCAAAAGGAAAGAAGAGCATCGATTGCAGAGGAGCAACGGAAATTAGCCCTGGAAGAAAAGGAAAAGAAACGCGCCAAAAGAGTGAAAGCTGTACCCATGATCGGAACTCTCAAGGAATCACCAAATGAATTGGATGAAAGTTTATCCTACGAATTCATCCCAGCTATGCCTGTTTGCCAGATGAACCCTCAAAAGCACCGAGTTAAGTGTATTAGGCTTGGAATCCAATCTGGGGAGAAAGCCGTTAACACTTTGGTGGCTAGGCCAGTAGGCAAAAAGGAAATTAGAGCCAATCCCAAAGCCCAGCAAGCCTTAGATGTAGAATGGGACAAACTGGTAAAGAAGAAGGCCTGGCAATATGAAACAGTGGCCGAATGGAAGGTCATTGCTGATAAGGCCAAGAAGACTGGGAAGAAGGTCCATGTAGGAAAGGTCTTTGAGATTTGCGTTGAAAAGGGAAGTGAATTACCCGAAGGAGATAAACTCCGAAAATTCAAAGGAAGAACAGTATTTCAAGGCAACAATGTAAAGGACGAAAGTGCCGATGTTGCCCTGTTCTCGGAATTAGGATCTTCGCCTGCCACCATGGAAGCTGGCAAAGCAGTAGATGCCTACGGAGCTCAACCGGGATTCATAACCCAACAAAATGATGGAGTACAAGCTTACACTCAAGCCTTATGGAAGGGCGTGGAGACGTGGGTGGAACTGCCACCCGATCGATGGCCCAAAGAGTGGCATGGTAAGTTCATTAGACCAGTTGTATTGCTTCGCATCGCTCTTTACGGTCACCCCGATTCGGGGGGACTCTGGGAACAGTACTGTGAAGCCATGTTGAAACTAGTGGGCTTTATCATGCCAGACCCGGAAGGGTGGCCTTCGGTGTTTTTCCATCCAGAGCTCAAATTGTTGCTTGTCGTGTATGTTGACGATTTTAAGATGTCCGGTCCCAAAGAAAACATGTCAAAGGGATGGAGTTTGATTGCATCAAAGATTGACATGGACACTCCCGGGGAAGTCAATAGATATCTTGGATGCGACCATGTAGCTCAACACAACGTAAAGCTCAAGGTCGAGGATCACCCTTATGCTCATGTCTTTGACAAGTCACTGGCCGACCCGGCCGCGCCTGCCGCCGCCGCGTGCCACAGGACTCAGGATTTCTGGGAGCTCGACACCGTTAACGATGTCTACATGAGACACCATGTGCAGCCAAGGAAGAAACTATTTTTGCCCGATGAAGAAGTGGTTAAGTCATGCCAACTAGCCCCATTTAGATTCACGAATGCAATCCCATGTAACAACCATGGAAGTGAAGTTGAGCAATGGGATACTATTGGAATTGGATCCAACGTGAACAAAGGGGGTAGTCTCAATGATTCATGGGTTGGCACAACATACTTCTTCTCAACATCATGCAAAGATCCAAAGGCTGCCATGGCCACCATCAAGAGGGATAAGTCCGGAGCCAAAAAGAAAGCTAGAGCGGAAGGTTTCTAGAGCGGAAGGTTTCTCTTACATGGACCAACTGTTTGAGAACCAACCCTGCATGCAAAAGCCGGTGACTACATTTACATATGATATGGAGCCTTTTCTCAAATCATGTGTTGAACGTTACATTTCACTTGCGGGCAGGGATGCCAAGCCTTTGAAACAAGTTTCCACACCATTTCATGAAGAAAGAATTGCACGGCCCATTGCCGATGAGAAGGAAACCAAAGGCGTATTGGCTCCAATAGCCGCAAGGGTCCTTATGAAAGTGCTATTTGCAGCCAGGATGGCACGTTTCGATTTGCTGCGTGCCGTCCAAGGCCTAGCAGCTCGTGTGACAAAATGGAGTGCAGAATGCGATAAGGCACTGCACAGACTTATTTGTTACATTAATTCCACCCTGGATCACAAGCAAAGGGCTTTCATTGGGGACAAGGTTAGTGAATGCAGGCTTTGGCTATTTGCTGACGCAGACCATGCAGGGGAGTACGACAATCGATCCACCAGTGGTTGTTTGTTAGTTCTTGTAGGCCCCAATACCTACTTCCCGCTCACAGCATTCAGTAAGAAACAAACTGCCGTTGCAATGTCAAGCACCGAAAGTGAAGTTGTCAGTGCAAACGTATCCCTCAGAGCTGTCGGTCTACCTTCCTCCGGTTTGTGGGCATACCTCCAGAACGCGGGGGGGGAGAGAGCACCAAAAGACAGCATACCGGGAGGTTTGCCAAGGCATGACATTGAAACCCAAAAAGAATCCAATGGGGAATACTGGCAATTCATGAGAAGTAGAAGATTGCTCGTCCGAGTCCATACAAAACCAAGGTCACATTTGTTCACACCCGTTGACATGTCCAAGTCACCCATTAACCTTAAGCGTATCGGATGTGCTCGAACCACCGTGATGCTAAAGGACGGAATGGTTGACTTCATGCAGGACAATTGGAAGGTCAAAGTTGACTACCCGATCAACGGGGAGTGGACCGGCAAGACTTTCTTCAGGGTCTATGGTCCCTACGAGTCCGACTACAACATCGAATCGGTCGAAATCCGTGAAGCCATCACCGACTACGAGTTCGTAGGACGTGAGAAAGAGGGAGAATGTATGATCTCAATGTTTTCCCCACGGTCGATAAAAGGTGTTTTTGTAGAGGACAATCAGGCCACCATTAGAATCCTTGAGAACGGAAAATCACCCACTTTCCGGCATACAGACAAAACACAGCGAGTTAATCTATCTTGGCTGGAGGAACAGTTTAAAAGAAGGTGGTATAAGCTAGTCCATGGTCCAAGCATGCTCCAAGCTGCAGACATTCTCACGAAACCATTTGTTAATGCAGAGAAATGGAAACTAGCTGTCAAACTTCTTGCATTGACCCCCACCAAGAAGATTACCCCACCGAAAGCTTTGGCGTCGGCGTCGGAGGCCATCACACCTCCAATCATTGCCACACCAAGCACGGGGGGACCCGCTGCCAAGTCTGATACCAAGAGACTGATCGTTGAAGTTTGCTGTCATCCCGAGTCCAAACTCAGCCAAACCAACAGAAAGTGGTCCGAAGGTTGTGAAGTACTACAGTTCACTGAAGAATTTGATCTAAACGAAGTCGAAAACCAAATGAGGATTGCAGAGTACGTCAACTCTTTCAAAGGTGATGTGAAACCGTTTATATGGATCAGCCTACCGTGCACGGGGGGTACACCATGGACGTATATCAACATGAAAAACCCCAGTGCACGTGAAAAAGTATTGAAACATGTCAGAGAGTTTGACCGACTTTGGATTTCCTTGAAATCGTTTCTTCGGATGTTCAACTGTGAAGTACACATTGCACTCGAGTGGCCACGAAAATGTCGATATTGGAAATTGACCAAAGTTGCAAAGCTGTTGAACTTTTATGGGATGATTGCATATCATTTTGATGGATGTGCTCTTGGAATGGTAAATCAAGACAATGATCCTTTGAAGAAACCTTGGACAGTGGCCACAAACCATGCTGGAGTCGGTAAAGCATTGTCGAAGTTCCAATGCACATGCAACAGGCGTCATGCTCCAGGTAGAGGTATTGCACTCAAGAAAACGGAGGAATACACTTTCCGCATGACAGACGCCATACATAAAGCGCTTACCCGACAGCATCCCGCTCTCAAGCTAACTTGCTGTGCACTCATCGCGCCCTTTTGTTCTCCCGTCTTCGTCATGTTGACTCGTGCAATCCAAATGGCCAAGGCCTGTGCGGTTGCCGGGAGGCCCGCCATCCTCGAGCGCATCACCCAATGGGAAAGTGTGGTCAACACCCTGAAGGCAGCCATTGCGGTTGCGACGTGGGACGACCCACAGGTGCTCTTGCGAGAGATGGAGGGATGCCGCCTACCCCTGGCGAATATCGTCGAGCCGATGCTGGGTGGTGGCAATGCTGAAGGGGCATACGACACGCTCGCGGAAGTCTACAAGAACACGCCCGATGGGTTTTTGGCCATGTGCCCCTACCCGCCGGGAGGCGAGGTCGACCTGCTGATCGTATCGGACTCATCTCTTGCTCTGGTACCTGACCCCCAAGCAGGGAAGGCTTCGTGTTTTTCCGGAGGCGATCTTTTGAAGCCCTGGGGAGACATCCGTGGCATTTACACAAAAATGTTGTGGGGCAAAGGTTTGAATCACATGGTGCAGTACATCCCCGAGGCCATCGACGACATCGAGTCCACCAATCGTGCACATGGTCGCCCGGTTTTGCCGGTGTTGGTCATCGTGGGGTGGGCCGGCAATGATGTGTTTGGCGAAGGGGGTTACAGAGGTGTCCATTGGATCCACAGGGCTGCCTACAACAAGTCTGCTGCCGACCGGGAGGTCACGGCCAACTGGTGTGAGCGGCAAAAGGCAAGAGTCGAGCGGTCCGTCAACGAACTGGGCCAGCTCAAACGTGATGAGCCTCGGATCCTGGACATCATGGTCGTTGGGAACGCTGACGCGGAAATCTTTGCTCTCCCGTCAGCCTACAATGAGACCATGCGGGTCCACATCAGGGCACTTCGAGAGGACCATGGTATTCAAACTTTGGACACCACCTTGATGCTTGCCAGAACTGTGAGATATGACAAGGTGCACTTGGAAGACGACGAAATCAACCGGAAGTATGTCACCAACTTCCTCCAAGCCGTCGCTGATTGCCACCTTGCCTACCTCAAGCTCATCAGCGTCGACGATCACTTGAGAACGCTCCCAAGAATTGACGATCTCCAGGAGCAGAAGAACTACCCGAACCTCACCATCCTCAAGGCCGCGTACCAGCTTGAAATCGATTCGAATGTATCCTCTCCAAAAGATCTTCCTCAGCGACCTGATCCTGAGAAGCTCATGTTGGATGCAGATATCGAGATTTTCAACTGGGTGCTTCAAGCTGAGGAGAGCGCCGCAGCCTCTGCCGACCGGGAGGTCGAGTCCTGGTTGCGTGACATCCCTGAAGAGGACCAGGCATTGGAACCAATGCACCATGACAACGCTGATTCGGACGATGAGGCTGTCAAAGTTCAGGCCCTCACCATGGATGATCGAATTTTGGCAAGGCGAAAGGGCCTTTCAGAGGAGCACGACCAAGAATGGCAAGATGCCACCTATGCGGCTGAGGATGAAGATGAGGACTTCAAAGGGTGGGACCTCATTGAGGATGACAAACGCCCGCCGGGAGTCGTGGCCAGTGACCCAGTACATGAAGAGGAAAAGGAGCTGGACCTTGACGACCTCGAGACGGTGGCTTCGGTGGAGATTGTCGATGAAGAGGAGTTCCACGACGCTGAGGAGGGGCAGGCAGAGCCGATGGATGATGATGACGATGACGACATGGCCGTGATCGACAAGGTCTCTTCTATGCAGGCCTCGAAGTCTGATGCACGGGGGGACCCGGAGCCCATGGATGTTGATGATCAGGGCAACAAGATGGTCCAGAGTACGGCATCAGCGAAGACCTGGAAGACGGAGATGGCCCAGAGCTCGTCATCGGCAAAGACGTGGAAAACTGACATGGCTCAGAGCACCTCATCTGCAAAGACATGGCGAACTGACACCACTGCAGCTGCGTCGGCGGGAGCCACGCCTTCTGACCCGACGTCCAAGCTCAAGCCCAAGAAGAAGGCCATGCCAAAGAGATTGAAGGTTGTGGATGAGGGACATGGGCCAAGTGCTGAACAGTTTGACACGTCGAAATTTGCCTCAGCACAGGATCTGGTTTGGATTGAGCCGGACAACATGGCAGGAGTTCCTGTGCGCAAGGTGGACTACGGGAGGCTCGGATCAATTTCCCATGCTATGTCCGACTACCTCCGTGGCCATCGATTGTTTCACAGGAGGCCATCACCTGAGATTCGGAGGACTGATTTGTCAATGGACTTCAAGGCATTGGTGAGGCATCTCCAAGGAGATTTTGCGCACCTTCGAGAAGAAGAAGTTTTGATGGTTGTGCGCAACTCTCCGATGCGTCGCTTCAGAGTCCAGGTGAACGGCTTGTCGTCCGGAAAGCTCAGATGGACGCCAGTGAGGATCAGGGCCATTCAGGGTCATCGGGCCTTTCTCGTGGAGCAAGGGGGGATGTCAAGCATGATCAAAACGATGTTCACTTTTGATGAGAACTTCGACCAGACCAAGATCGACGACCCAACGGTCCACCCCGCATTCTCCGCGATGCCGGAAGGCTCGCCTGTGTGGCACAAGTTCCCCAGAGTGGTGTATCACACCTGTGACCAAGCCGCCTTCAATTCCATCATCAAGCACGGCCTGATCCCTGGCGGATTCCCGTACAAAACGGGCAGAGCCCACAACTTTTTCAACTCCACTCCGCCCTGGAAAGCGGAAATGAAAAAGTTGCAAGGTACGCGGGCCGGGAGGCCAATCGCCATCGCGTTTGACATGGAGCTCATGATGCAAATGGGCTACAAACTTTTCGCGACTGACGAGGCCATCCTGTCGCCAGACTGGATCTCGAACCAGCCGATGATCAACGCCTTTGATATGCGTTCGGGCGAATTTTTCTTTATCAACAGGGCTTATGTCAACCATCGGAAGACTTACCAGGAAGTCCTCAAGCAGGCCAAGGCCGAGTTTGATCCGACGGATGTTCTCATGAGCCGCATGGAAATGTTGATGGAAAATGCCCAGTTGAACTTTGAAGGCATCAAAGAGCGCATTGAGTTCGGCAAGCTCCTCCCCTTTTCCAGGCGTGAAGACATTGAAGTCGAGAAGAGTACTGCCACCCGGGAGGGTGAGCCGGCATCAGGTTCTCAGCTGGTGCCCGGCTACACCGTTGGAAAGATGGCCGCCATGACAAGCACGGACGCCTGTGGCTTCCAACGTCGTGGACGGAATGGACCCGGTGGTGGGAATTGGAGTCGAGGGCAAGGTCGACACGGATTTGAGTTGCAATTCAAGGACATTTCCTACAACCAGATCCAAGACACGCCTCAGGTACGTTGTGGCCATCCGATCTGTGGATATCTGATGGTGGATGGACATTTGAAATGCCCGCGCTGCTCCCGGCAGATGGAACCCGTGACCGATGCCAACATCGCCACGGAAGTTGCCCGCCGGGAGGCGATGGCCCGTACCAGAGGAGTGCCCTTCTCCATGGACAAGGTGATCTTCAACCACCCGCGAAGAGGCAGAGTAGCCAGGCAGCCGGAGAAGGGATCATCATCTTCTTCGACAGCCATCCGGACCAGAAGCACCTATGGCAACTTGAGAGACATGGCCAAGAACTACGTCAGATCTTTCAAGAAAAGGGGCTTCAAAGACCTTGTTGACCGACTCGTCCGCGACCCGTTCTTTCAGTTCAATGCGGCGAATCAAAACTTGGTGCCGGAGGCCTTGCTCTTCATTGAGCGTTTGGCTGGCTGCGTGAGCCCGACCATTGAGCGCACCAAAGCTCAGGTTCTTGGTGAAAAGCTTGAAATGGCCACCAAGTTGATCTTTGTGCCATCGTCGGAGCGGGAGCCCGACCAACCCTTGGATCTTCACACCGAGGTGTTTGTGTCGCATCGGGGCGTCTTTCTCGACATTGGCCAATTCGCAGTCTACGTGGCGAAGTTCATCAAGCCAAGACAAAGACCTCTACCCATTGTTTATGGATGGGGCAATCGTGACTTTGTGCCTGATGCTTCAGATGCCAAAGAGATCGCGAAAGAACTGGTGGAGTTCAGCAAGCTGCAGTGGTCGAACTTTGCCTCCCAACAGACGCACAAGGAGTCTGAAACCACCGGCGACGACCGGGAGGTCAGTCTTCCTCATGCAAGTGCAGCCATCAGCCGACCTGAACATGAACGACCCCATCACGAGCAGTTTGAACCGAATCTTGGCAAGCCTGCTCGCGGCGGTCCTTACGGCCAGGGTGGTGGTGGTGGAAAAGGTCATCACAAAGGTGGAGGACAGACCAAAGGGAAGGGACAGCAGAGGGGGAAGGGCAAGCAAGGCAGAAGCCCACCGGGAGGTGTGGCCTACGGTGACTTTGAAGGGGATTCCTTCTGGGTTCAGGGCTATCGCTACACGTGGTACTGGAACCAACAGCGAGGCTGGTACTGGCGCTGGACCTGAACTATGGGATGACTCGCATTGACACTTAGGTCATATCTTTCCTGTTTCAAATTTGCTTGCCGGGAGGCATGCCTGTCTATGACAAACTTGGCAGGCATCGCACCCATTGAACAAACCAAAGCTTTGACGCACATTATGCATTATTCCATTCAAGTGAACTTCTATGCACAAACTTCTGCACAGTTTGAACTAATTAAAATATCATCAATGACTTCTCAAGCCGATGATTGGATGTTCAAGGCAAGAGCTCAAATTAATTCACACCAATTTCATGGCTGTACAGTTTTTCCTGCCATGGTACCGTTCGAGTGGAGTCAAAAGGAATGGTAATGTTCCTACATTCATTTGAAGGTGCCTGGCGGGAGCCACGGCCATTGCTGTGTGCAACATCGTGCCCAACTCCGGCAAAAGAGCATACGACTTGCATCCGCCAGTTGCCTTGACATCCATTGCACTCGAGCCACACGAGATTGACGTAGGTGTTTCAGTCATGTATCTTCCTGTTCACTTAGGTCAAATCGCGGCAGCGTACACAAGGCGCAATTGTACCGAAGCCGCTAAGCGGCTGCGGTAAACGGGGGGTATTTTTACATGGGGCTTATGAGTAGTCTCCATTACCTCCCTGTAAAGTTACGCCTAGTTGTGTACATGTAAATACTCTGACCATTTGGCTCAAGAACAAAATAGTGTGCTCGCTTGCTGGCTGATCTAGGTTGATTAACCTGTGAATATATATATATGTATAATATAACTGGTTGGTGGTTTGGAACATTTTTTATTTTTCCATATATTGGGAATAATAATCCCAATTGACTTTCATATTTTTCAGAGGGGTAGGCTCAACCACCAACCAGATAACTTATATAACTTATATAACTTATATAACTTATATAACTTATATAACTTATATAACTATCATCCGTCGGAATTGGGGGGTACCCCATGTTCACAGCCCAGTGGTTTACCAATCGGCAATTTGGCCATGGCTCCAGCGGATCCGGGCGCGGCAGCGAATGCCTTGCGAAGCCAAGCCCATGGCGTAGCGGCCGCAAACCCCAGGGGAGCCTGAGGGGCAAGCTTTCAAATCCATACCCCGGTTTTTTTTGATGTTTTTGTGTTTCTTTTCTTAAACTTCGGACAATTTTTGGTCAATTTTATGGCGTTTCATCTGGTTTGATTCTGGATTTGATGCTATTTGATGCTATTTAAATAGTGACTTAGTGTGTTGAGTGTTGAACTATCCGAACATTCTTTGGGCGCCCAACTTTTGAACCATGACCTGGTCACTGCTTGGAAGATTTGTGGTGTGACATATACACACACACATATATATATATATACATATATATCTGAGGTCAGTAAGAGAAACCCAGAGGAGAAGCCCTGGTGGCATGGGGTGGGGAAGTTATTTGACCTGATGCCCATGATTCGACAAAATGTCATGAGATGTCCAATGTGGGAACTCCCAGTGGCAGATGTGGCAGGAGGTTGAGCCATGACGAATCTGAACAACAGATCAGGCTGGAGCAGCTGGAACAGCATTGTGTTGACGACATCCCACTGGATAAATTATAACTGACATTAACTGACCTCACTTGGATGTCAGTAATGATACTTAGTATAATTGGTGAGGGTATAACTATCATTATATAACTATCCCATACTGTGTGTAACATGGTATAACTATCATTATCCAAACCTATCCCCAAATTGGAGAGAAAATAGGTGGCCTTATTTCAGATCATGGAATTATCACACTTTGGCTTTCTAGCACCAGGCCTTGGCAATGCCGGCGTCGCCAGCGTGGCATTTTGTGTAGCAATTGCCACGGGCGTGGCAGTCACATGGCTGAAGCGGTGCTTGGGAAAATGCTAGGAATGGAAAGTTGGATTGAATTTTGAGAATGTTGATTGTTCTTCACAACTTTTAGTCACACACATTTTGATTTTTTTCGCTTTTACCTCAGCAAACTTGAGGTTTCAGCATTTGTTTTTGATCTGTTTCCTTTCATGGCGCGTTCAGTTGGTACACTGAAGCAATGCTACTACGGTAACGGGCAATGCCTCTGTTGTTGTTTTCAACATGGGCACCTGGGAGTCCTGGTCAAAAGTTGGATTTAACCATAATAGGACATTATGGTTTAAACCATGGTTAATCAAACTACATTTCACACACACGCACACACACACACATATATATATATATGTATATATATCATAATCCAATACAATGGATTTAACCATTTAACCATATACTAATAATTAATAATAATAAATAATCATAATTGGGGATATTTCCTGGGATCACATACCATCATGTAATTAATTGTAATTACCCATGCTCATGCCACCATTGATAGGGAAGGGATGACCCAAAGTCCCAAAGTCCATGTTTTTGATCATGGCCATTTTCACTCTGAGGTTTACTTGGGCTAGTGAAAGTCTTGCCCTGCCCCTGCTTTGCTCAAGCTGCTTTGTGGAAGGATGGCTAATTTTGGAGTTTGCAAACGTTTCCGCTCAGCTAGCTGTTGAACAGCCTAGCTTGTCGGAATGACAGAACTCCCAGGGCACCCCCCAAACTGCCGGATTCAACCTCCATCATGCCAGCATCCATCCCATCATCCCACTTCCCAATTCATCCCATGGAAACTTTCCACGCTTCCCACGATGTTGGCGCAGCTGCTGCTGTTGTTGGCCGCATCGCTGGTGGCCCAGCTGACCCTGGCGCCACCGTGCCGGCGCCCCGGCAGAACCTCAGTGGCGGAGGCGCGACGAAGGGCGCCGCGGGCGCCGGCGTTTCGACCGGGACTGGAACGGCCGAAGCCGACGAGGATGGAAGAACTGAAGGATGTCATGCTGGTCACTTTTGGCTTTTCTTCACATTTATGTTTTTCAATGATTTTGGGTGATAGTTTAAGTTTTTTTGTTCTTGTTTTTTTTTCCCTTTTTCCTGTCTCTCTCTCTCTCTCTCTGTGTCTCATTTACATACATCATAATTATTGCAAACGCAGTTGTCTCTGGTGCGGTTTTGCTGGTGCATGGAGTCCAGATAGCATGGGATCGAGCGAGGTCAAGAAGGACAGCAGTTTCGATGACGCTGCGCAGTGGATCAACCAAGGGGGTCGGGCCATTGTGGTGGACCGGTGGCGAGACTTTGAGATGTGTCGCAAGACATTGCTAAAGCCCTTGAGACAAAAACCTGCCAGTGCCAAAGATGCAGAACCCGGGAGAGACAATTAATGGAAGAGTTTCAAAGGAGTGACAGGGTGATTCTTTTCCACATGTTGCCAGTTTCATCCAGTTGAGGCATTTAAATACGTATCTTTAAATGCATTTAAAGCATGGTAAAGTTTAGTACCACCAAGGAGAGGCAGAGAACCTTGAAGAAGGAACTTTCAGATCGTTTGCTCGGCCCTGTCGGCTATCCTGGTTGCATTGCGCTGGAGGGAGCACCAGCGGCAGATTTCTTGCAATCCCTGTCTGGTGCTGAGTCGATCTCCGATATCGTGGGGTGAGCTTTGAAGGTGACAGGTCAAGATGGGTGAAAAACCAGGGTGCCAGGGTGATCCGTAGGGATGCAAGGCTTGCAACCTGGAGCCCATCTGGGATCATCTGGGGCTCCAGGATCCAGTCAGTGTTGGTCAGTGGGACGGCACCAAACCAAGGTATGGGGACCTACTGGAGAATCATTCCGGTGAGGACTGGGTATGTCCCAACCTGTCCTAACCTTGGGCGCCAGTGAATCGCCAGCCCATTGGTTTTGTTCATTCAGAGGATGACGGCTTAAATTAAAGGATCTTTCCACTTAGGAAATGCTTACTGGGATATGTTCCTGCTAAGCCCACAAGCGAAGTGGGTGTGTCACAAGTAAAGGCTGGCATAACATGTTAGAATCATACACTTGCACGCACACACACACACACAAACACATAAAGCATTTATAATATGTTGTAACAAAACAGAACAAACTAAACTACAATAGATGATAAGACAAGACAATAAAACGACATCTTATATGTGTATAGTATATTATAACATATTATAACACATAACTACCCATAAAATCCCACAAATACAACATATATACGTATATGTATATATATATATATGTGTGTGTGTGTGCACATAAAGCCCCAGCTGCCATAAAATGATGGGATGATCGAAGGCGAGTCCGTTTCAGGATCAATCGGAGATCGCCTTCGCCTTGCCTTCGGGTGTTCTGTTAGGCTTGGTCAATGCTTGGCAGTACTTCCAGGGCGGCTTGCGGTTCCCCTTCCTGGCCCCGCCACGGCTCAAAGGGCCCATTCGGCCCTTCTATGGCGTCTACGCCTATCCACATCCGGTGACCCACTTTGAGCTGCTCATGGAGTGGTTGAAGAACACCACGTCACCCATTAGGAGAAGGGTGGAGGATAGCTATGAATTTGGTGTGGTGAAGAACCATGACTGGACCCTAGACAAGTGATGACAAGTGGCATTGATAAATGGGTTGTGGGATGCAAAGCTGCATCGATTACATAGATTATATGGATAGTCTGCGTCTGCAAGTCCGCAGGGTTCTCCCATGTTCTTTCACAATACCGCAATTGCAGCATGTGGAATGATATACGGTACCATCCTTAAACTATCATTTTGCATCAACATGCACCAACCATCCCGTAGCATTTCCCCATCCGTCCCCTGCGTCTTGAGGTATTTTTCGGTTCAACCCCTACACTTTTGCATGCCAGGATTGGATAGAATTGGTTTACAGCAAAAATGGCAGGAAACGATAGGCAGCAGCCTATACCTACTATACCCCCTGTCATTGGATGGTAGAAACGATGGTTTCCTCGGGATTTTTCCCATGGTAGGAGTGCCCTGGACCTTGGCACCGGCTGCGGCGTGGTGGCGCTGCTCTTGTCCGTGGTCCTTGGCTCCAAGCCGGCGCTCGTCGCCAGCGACGTCAGCGTCAACGCGGTCTATGGCGCCAAGGAGGAGATGAAACGCCAAGGGGTGCAGGTGGAGGTGATCCAGGCAGGGGAACCGGAAGGTTGCCATCCATAGTCATCAAACATAAGACTGGATTAGTCCCAAAAAATGAAGCGTTGATATGGCGGAATTTCGGTGATCCAGGGATGTGGTAAATCATGAATGTGCAGATTTGTGGCAAGGCATCAAGACTTGGTGATGCCGGTATGTGGTACAGTAAATGGCGTAGTACACCAACATTAGGGATTTTTCACCGGAGGGTTGTTGCTTATGACATGTTATGACCCTGTGGAAAAAACACATTTTTTTGAGCACAGTCAATAATTTCCGGTTTCTTTGGATGAATGTAAAACATCCATCAGAGAAGGTTTCAACCTGGTTGATGCCTTCGGATTTCCCTGCATTTTCCTGCGTGCGGTAAAGATCAGAGCTGACATTGTGAGTTGATCAAACTTCTGAAATAATAGTGACGACCGCAAATCAGAAGTATCTAAAAATATCTAAAAATCAATTGGTCAAATATTTGCCCCCTTCAACTCCCATTTTTTATTGTAACGCTATTTTGGGGCCCAGTTTGAACCCTGAGGCAGATCTCTTTGAAGGACTTGGAGGTAGGAGATGAGGGGCAGCTGATGGATGCTGATGGAAAGACATTTTGAGAGGAACCACGTTTTTTTTTTGGCTGAAACAGTTTGGAGTTTGGGTTGTGGATGGTGGTTAATTTGATGGAGACTGGAGGGCCAAGCGGCCAACCGTCGCAGGTCGGAAGTTCGACCTGGTGGTGTTCAATCCGCCATGGTTGCCTCTTCCCCAGCCGTCAGCTGGGGAACCTCCACGGACCAAGCTGGACTCCGGGAATTTCTATCCCGAAGATCTGTTCCCACGGCTATTTGACGGCCTGCCGGAGGTCTTGAATCCAGGTGGAACTGCGGTGCTGCTCTTTTCCAATCACGCGCTGAGCCGGAAATACGTGGAGGAACATCCCTTCCAAGCTGCAATGGCTGGGAGCAAATCCAAAGACCGGTTTCGGACAAGGCTCTTCACCCGAGATTTTGATTTGGAAGGCCGGCGGCGACGCACCGGAAGGCCTCAAGTGGGGGTAGTGGATGAGGAGCCACGTGCGGAACTGTGGGAGTTTCAGCTTGAAGAAGCGACGGAAGAAAATGGTGAAGCAAATCAGTGGCGGGGTCCACAGGTGCAATTACTATAGACATGGGGGTTTCTTGAAAGTGGAAAAAGATATCCCAAGATAATCTTTTCTTCCAGTTAACAGGGAACCCATTGGTTTTGGGGCACCCATTCCTCTCAGCTGATGGGTACGTGCCATTGGCTACCGGCTACCGATTGCATGCATTAATCAACAAAGGTTACCTGTTTGTACTGCCAATCTCCATTAAACCCCCATTAAACCCCGACTCCCATTAAGCACCATTTAAATCCCAATAAATCCCAACAATTAAACAAATCCCATTAAAGTTAAAGTCCCATTCAACTCCATTAAACCATATTAAACCCCATTAATTTCCAGGAAAGTCCCAGTAACTGTGCTGCAACCCATCAGGCCTTAGCTGCCACTGGTGCCTCCGCCGCTGCCGGCATCGCAGTGCTGGCGGCCACCGGAGCGGCGGTGGTGGGGGCCAGGACAGGTGGGGGTTTCATATGGTTTTATAGTGTGGATGGGCCAGCGAAATCCTGCACCACCTTCATAGGATGGTTGAAACATGTTGAAACCCTATGAACTATATTGAATAATGGGATAAACCATCAACTGGTGCAGGATTTCGCAACCATCCACTGTATGAAAATGGATGAGGACTGGGTGTACCCCCAGGATGAAACGGAAACCTCCATATACATGTATATATATATGCTTGGATTATGATATATATATATATATATTTATTTATTTATTTCTAGAAACATCACTTGGATTTGTCAATGGATGTGCGTATGTACATATATATATATACAAATGGCTTGTTGGGCAAAACCCGCCATTTATATGATTTGTGGCAATCTTTATGGCGTTTTGTGGGATGGTAGAAATAGATCGCATCATCCACTTTGCAACCTCTGACCAGGAAGAAGGTTCCTCTTCATTCGCAGATGTTTTGGCGGTGGTTGCCATTGCGAAACATGTTGATTTTCCCATAATGTTCATGAATTTTACGGGATGCCTGTCCCCATACACAATATTGACACAGGGTGGTACTTTATAAGTACACCCCTGTCATGAGCTTAAAATCACCACTAACTATAGATATACCCATAAAACCTCGTGAAATTGGAGTTATGTTTGCCAACTTGCGATTCCTACCTGGGATCTGCACATGTTTGAGCTGGAGGAGCAGTGATGCCGATGAACCCTGCTGGGCCAGTCATTGCGGTCGCCAGGTGCCATTGCTTTTACAAACTGTGCACCCCCCTTTTTCAGGTGATTCCATGTCTGTGTTTTTACTGACATTATTAAAATTATCAACCACTATTGACCACTATTAATTAATATTAATTAACCACCATTAACCATGGCTTTTTCCCATGGATTTTCAACCAACTGGAGGTCAGTTGGTTGATCCAGTCCGCCAGGATCAGCTAAGTTCAGAACTGGTGGCCGTCCTGCCAGGTGCCCTATCCGATGGCTTGGTGAGCTGTTGAGCCATGGTGGTCATGGCTCAAACATTTTTGGCCGTTTGTCATAGTATGTCATAGTGGTTGAAACTCCCCAAGACTGAGGGTCAATGAATATCAATGAATACCCTCTGGTAAACTAACATAACTATGGAAAATCACCATTTTCAATGGGTAAATCCACGAACTAAATCACCATTTTCAATAGCTATTTTGACATAACCAGAGGGTATAACTGGTATATGATTTTTAGCCAGTCCCGTGACTTGCTGGTTGACAGTGCCTGGTGGATCATCTCCTGCAGATCATGCACAGCGCCCTTCAAACATCCTCAAACATTCAGGACATCTTACACAAAGGCCCCAAGAAATTTGATGGGATTGTTTGAAAATGTTTGAAAATGGGGCAACCCCCAAATTTCATGGTGAATCAATGTTCATCACCTGGATATTTTGCATGAATTTCCCATTTAACGGCATTTTACGGGTATACCACTATGGTACACCTCCCTTTCAGACACAATCTGACCACATGACCAGCACCATCGCCAGCTCAACGAGTGGAGCTGGACGTGTCGTCTCCGCTGACCATCGACAGCGTCAAGGCTCTGGCGGCCATTGTCGGGTCCTGGATGCCACTTGCTGTTTCTCACAACACACACACACAGATATATATATATATACGCATATATAAATATATGTGTGTGTATAGTTATAAAGATCTAATTATGGTTTTGTATGTATGCAGCACGTTGGGTAGACGGGGGTTTGCCCGAATCTCAGAGCCGTCTTGATGAGCTTCAACATGCTAATCAATGATTTCATGAAGTATAGTAGGGATTGTTTCAATCAAAGTTGTGCGTTTCGCCGTAGTGGCAAGCCTATTTTTATCATTGTGCATCGGTGTCTATGATCTTCATTTTATGGATTGTTTCCAGATGGGCATCAAATAATGTCTGAAGTCAACTTCCTCTTTTTCAAAAATAAAAATAGATGTTGAAACAAGCCTTACAAGGGATTGTGTGTTTTTTTTGTCTTGTTTTTTTTTCATTTTTCAGTGAACGAAGTGGTATCTACATAGGCTTTGTTGGGATTAATTTAGTCTTTGACAAAAGCCATGTAGCGCACAAAGGCTTCCATGATCTTCCATGACCATTTCAATCCCAAGGTTTTCATGAATGTACGAAGCGGATAAGCCATCGATGTGAGCGGAATGTAGGACGTTATGACGTAGTATACATGAGCGTGGGGCAAAGTGATCTATGTGAGAGAACATGTGAGACGTTGTGACGTAGTATATATATAAGACGTGGCACCGTAGAGCAACGTGATCTATGTGAAACAGCATGAAAGACGACGTGAGGTCATGTATTAGATATGGGAGCGTAGAGTAACGTGATCTATGTGATAATTCCCGTGCCACAGGAAAGCGCAAATGAAGACGTTATGGCGCCCCCAACCAACCAAGAGGCAAGACGAGATGAAGTTTGGGCAACCCCCCCATCTACCCAGCACATTGTAGATCTGCAATGTGATATACATGAAATGTATGTATTAATATGTAGTAAGACAAAATCAGACAATAAAATACAATAGAATACAACACAAAAGAATGTAAGACAATGTCAGAGAGTATAAGGCAAGATAAGACATAGGTACTTTAGGTACTTGAGCCACGGATGCCATGCTCAACTCGTGGAATCCAGGTGCGAAAGGTGCACTTCAACCTGACAAAGAGCCTTCGGCTGCACCGGTTGTCATCGCTTGTCCCGGTGGTTGCACTCCGCACCAAGGAACACTGTGCATGAGATTACTCCTTACTCAGAGGTCTATGGTATGCATCCGTGCTTTGCTTGCGAAAGACATGTTCGGCGGAGGTGGGCGCACGGAAATGGTGCACAGATTTTTGGATGAAGACGATGATTGTTGTGGTGAAAATGGATGATAACTAATAACTATTAGCAAATGCGAAGAATCATGGGAAAACCCAGCTAGGATACACCCCGATTGTTGTTTTTTCTCCGGGGGCAGTCCAGTAGGGATCTTATTCCCACTATTCCTCTGAGCCAAGGCGTCTTTTGGGGATTCAAAAGGGGTCCTCGACCTTGGAACCTCTGAAAGATAGCGATGAGGCAGATGTGATCAGAACAGGGCAGGGTTGGGTGCAAGTTTGCCATTTTGCATTGATTCTGTTGGCACTGTATTTTTTGAGATGAACAAATGCGATGGAGAAATTTGTGGAGCTCCGACATGCTTGGACAGTAATGTCAATTCGCTTGCCTACTCCTTCGTTCTGCAGTTGCCTGCTGGGAAGCTGTCGCCTTGTCCAAGTTAGGATGAGTTGGGACCTTCGCAAGTCAAGTGGTTTGCGTGTGTTATTATATGTTATTATGCTGTATGATACACCCCAGTTTAACCATTTGGCTCATTTCAGGGATCATGCCAGCATCCTTTTTCCAGAAGAAAGATCTTGGCCCAGCGTCAGCCCCCCCAAACCTATAGCCGTGCCGACTAGCTCGGGCAGGATGACGAGAGTTCCTTTGTCGGCAGAGATGATGCGAAATGAGAAATGCTATGAGTATCCACCATCCGCTGTTTGCTAGAGGAATTGCACCAAAGGAACTACAGTATCATTAACGCCCGCGACACCGCAGGCTGACATGGTAGGAGTGCATACTTTGGGTATCTTTGGGTTTGCCTTGCTTTGATGAAATAGCGTCAGATTTTTTCTTGGGAGTTAGTGGTTTCATTTCATGTCATATCACCATGGTGAACACGTTAGGTCCCTCCCATTGAGGCTCTGAGCTGGCGGACGGGATTTTGGGCCAATGGGCTTTGGCCAAAGCTACCTGGCAGGAGTTAGGGGGATCTGAGAAGCCTGGCCATTTCATGCTCTTCCACTGGTTAAACACACATCCGGTTGGAGTCTTTCCCCCATGGCTGATCAGGTGTCCAAATTTTGGCCACTTCTTGGCCTGACGGCCTTTTGGTTCTGCGTCCTGGGTCCTGCCACTTTCTTAGCCTCTCGGCTGGTCCTGCTTTCTGCGGTTGAAAGCTGTCAAAAAACACCACTGGTTTGAGGAACCACTTCCAAGTTTGGGCTTCATAAAAGCTGTCTTCAGCTTCATCCAGCCAAGTAGGAATAACATGGAATAACATGGAATAACACTGATTATATGATATCATAAAATTATATCATTATACGATTGAGAAGATGCATGCCATGAGATCCACACCCCCAGCTTTTCCGCAGGGGTTAGGCTCCCAGAGCCAGGGCGCATTAGGCGCCCGGCGCCGAAGGGCGCTATGGCCTTGTTCACGCCGCCGCCACCCAAAGCGGTGCCGCCTATGCCGGTGGTGGCGCCCTACGTGTCGGATGCGGATACGCGCAAGAAGTTGTGGGAACTGGGGATGAGGCATCATTTGAAGGCCTTGGAAGGCAGGGCACCTGATGCCAATATCTGGGGCTATATTGAAATGAGAAGGCAGGAATGGCAAGATGACAGCAATTTCAAGGGGGTCAAGTCAACTCGTCGGAATGTTTGAGGCTGCTAAGTAAGAGTGGCATAGGAACATTTAAATTGAATAAATAGTCCTGGGGCGTGCTGGATCCACCATCGTAGGATAATTGCAGAACTCTAGTGCCACTTTAACAGTACTAAGTTTCTAAGTATGCAAAGAACACTCAGACACTTCCAACCAGGCTGATTCTGCTCCTCAACTCGGGAAATTCATTAACCCGTGACAGTGACATGATGTGACATGGTAAATTCATATTGTAAATTCATATTGTAAATCCATATTGTGAATCCAAATGCAGTGAATTCACATGCTGCAAGTCCATTTGCACATTCCATATTGTGACGTGGTCAAGCCAAAACAAACTATCAGATATACAAATAACACGCCCACACATCAGAACATATCGGTATATCATGTATCATATCTCACATATGATATTTTATCATATTCATCATATTGTAAACTCATGGATATAAGATAATACAATATAATATATAACATAATATATAATTTAATATAATATATATAATATATACATATATGCATATATGTGGCAAGACCGGTGGCTTCTCCAGGCGTCACCGCCGTGACGGATCAGTCAGACCCGGGCGCCAGCATGGCGCCGGTGCACCGGGCGCGCGAACGCGCCAGGGACTTCGTGCGGGGCGAGATGAGGACTTCGCCAGCATCCCGGGAAAGGGATGGAAAACATATGGGAAAAATGGGATGTTAACCCAGGATGAATAGGAAAGAATAGTACATAGATGTAGATAGTAACTGATCACAAGAAATTTAGGGCTAAATTGGGGGTAACTCATGGTAACTCCGTTTCTTTTTTGAACAGGGTTGATGAATACGGGGTTGACAGTATCATGATCCCAATGCGAAAAACCATGGCACAGATGGCAGAAAGATGACACTCATTCGCCTGAAGGGTTGTTTCTGAAAACGGGTGATCGAATAGAACGCCTAAACTACCCTCTGGTAAACTAACATAACTATGGAAAATCACCATTTTCAATGGGAAAATCCACTATAAATGGGCCATTTTCAATAGCTATGTTAAATTACCAGAGGGTATATACATTAAACTGCTACATTGGTCTGTTCTTCGATGGCTTTGGGCTTTGGAGGCCCCAAATGTAGAAAACAACGGAATAAGTTGATGATTGATATGGTTCCGAGTGGGAAAGCCAATGAACATAATGAACATCATCATCTGTCAATTGGTAAAACTGCTAAATTGCAGGGTTGAATGAAGTTCAGTGTCTTAGACTTCAGGATAGGCGCCGAGGCAAGTCGGGTGGAGTCTGGGTTCCTGCCAAAGGAGAGACATCGTGGATAGCAACAAGCAGCTGGTCTCACGATTGAAGGACTGGCAGGGCTTACAACGTCAGACACCAGTTGGCTGATTGGATCTGATGATCTCATGGGTTGCCAAAAACAATCATGTTTGGAATTTGTTGGAGTGACTTGTCATGGCTTATGTGCAGCTGGCTTCCATCCACGGTGGTAGCAGGAGATCGTGAAAAAACCCAGCGCCGTGTCGCCTCCTACGGCGCCTCATCACAATGCAAGATCTGCTGCTTGGCGCGTCTGAGGAGGTTCGGGAGAGAGGCAGACTTAGGTCTGGGCATCTTGGTCCCCGAAAAAAAACGATAGACAAGTCTTAGTACAAAATATGAAGCAATGCCGTTCTTGATGGATTTTGGATAGCCCAGCCCTCCTCTACTTCCTGTTAGGTTATTACTATTACAGCCTCCCAGGACAAGATTTCCATGTTGCACAGATTCCCCTTCGAAGAAATGGCATGTTTCAATCCTGAGATCTTGGCACACCACCATGCAATCCATGCACGCTCACAGCAAAAGGACCCGGTCGAACCGATTTGGTCTACAAACCATTGAGTTCCCCAACTTCCCCCTTTGTTCTGTGGACATGTGGGTGGCTCATTGACTTTGAACATTCTATATATCATTTTCTCAGATGCAAGCATCTACTCCAGTTGGTGTTGTCATGTGTTTCCATTTTTCGATTCCAGTGCTGGGACCATCCCCCAAAAAACCCGTGAGGCAATGCTCAGCAGGGATCGGCAGCTGCGACAGAAGCACATCCAGAGCCTTGACCGGAGCTGGTGGCTGCGACCTCAAGATATCCCCATTGTTGTATAAAATGTTCTAAACCCAATAATGAACCTACAATCTTGGGATGGTTGACATCCCAACCATAAAAATTGGCAACATTATGCGGATGGTCTATAGCATTGGGCTGACTGCATCATCTATTGGTAGATCGAATTGTTGTGTTTCGATCTGGGTAGTTTGGAAGAGCATGCTTGATATTTTTCCAATGTTTTCCTTGTTCGGCACAGGAACCCTTAATTGACTTCATTGACTTAGATAGCAGATTGCATTTTTGGGGATAGGGATGTACAGTAGGTTTGCATCCAACTGGTGATGGGATGAGCAAGGCGCAGCTCAACATTTACAGTAAGACCCAGTGACGCAGAGATTTCCCGGTTTGTTCTTAGTGCTGATTTTTTTTTAAAACCTTTGACCGAGAGGACACGATTTGGTTCTCATGTAGGTTTCCTGCTGCCTCTGTCTAACCACCTACATATTAGGTGGTAATCTCGCTTGATGACTGCCATCCTGCTTGATTCGAGGGATTCCTACGCTCATTTCAGGAACGAGAACAAGTTCCTGGTGCGACGCATCCTTTCTGTCAAAAGCAGCCTGGATATCAGTGGTCTTGAGAAGGACTACTGGAGGCTGGAGTCCACCCATGACTTGACAAGAGATTTTCCATATTTGCCTGGCTATCATCACCACCCGCATCAGCATCATCACCATGACCGCCATCATCACCAGTACCCCTCAGCCAGTGCCCTACCCCTGGGTGTTTTTTAGGTGCACCGTGGTGCACCGCAGAGGCATCGCAAGGATGTGAGCCGGCTGCAGCAGATCCCCAAGCTCCCACCCCTGGACAAACCCAGCCGGCCGCGGAAGCGCCTGGAGGTCGCAGGGGTCATGCTGGGGAGACAGCTGCGGGGTGAATGCCTCGGTTAGTTGTGGATGTCGTTTGTCAACTGTGCTTGATGACAATGTTTGGTAGTTGATCTAGTTGGCCAACTGGGTCGAGGGCGCCTGAAGCCACCAAAATTTCAACATGGATCCAATATGATCAAAACATGATCAAAACCAGCCATGAGAAATCCAGAACATTTAGAGAGTGGATACCCTCTGGTTATTTAACATGGCTATGGAAAATCCATTCAAAAAGGAGGTTTTACTGGGAAAATCATCTATAAATGGGCCATTTTCCATAGCTATGTTAAATTACCAGAGTGGATAGAGGGGACCCATGCAGGCAGAGCCTTTACCAGCTCGAACCCCCAGCGCTGGCTCTTTCAGGTGCAGCTAATGGTTTGGGGATCCCCTGTGGCTGGCAAGAGTGGGGAAATTTGATAGATTTAAAGTCATGAGACGTGAGACAACATAATCATAGGCACATTAATGAATAAATACATACATACATGCATCCATGCATGCATACATAATTTAGATATATATAAGTATCTGAGTATGTCAAGTAACCAGTGACGAATACGGCAAATGATAGACGATTAAGCAGCGGTATTTCATTCTGGCATGGGACAACACTTGGGCACCCAGAGTGGATGGTTCATCGGCAGACTCTGCTTCAGGCCTGTGCGGGCACAGTTGCCGCTTCCAATGCCAAAGAGTAGCTCCATGCCAGCCCTTGCACCACTGCAAGTTGAGGTGCTGCAGCATGCTGCTGAACATGTTTGGGTCTTTGAGTGGGGAGAGAGGGACAAATCCATCCCTTTCCGGCCTGAAAGTGCAAGATGCGCAACCTTCAAAATATATCTTTTTATTTCACTCGAATGCTTTTCCTAATCGCCCCCAAAATGGATGATGGATCTGGTTTGATTGTATGTTGTGCTGTTTCAGGAGATCTGAGGCTCGACCACCAAATAGACCAAGCAGTTACCACCAAGTGGCATCCAAGTGTTGGGAATGCCCTCCGTCGCAGGAGAAGTCAGCGGACAAAGCCCTTCTCAAGAAGCGCTCCACGAAGAAGGAGCTTCAAACTGCCCAAGCCAAGGCTGCAGCGGCCCAGGGCCCAACGGTGGGAAAACAATTCTGTGACTGCTAGCACTGCTAGCTATTTTTTGGGAGGCAGGTCGATTCCTACTTTGATTTGTTTTATCTATTTCAATCTATTTTGTCTATTTTCAAATCCCAGCAGAATCCCGTTAACATCCATGAAATTGGTAATGAAATCAAATCACCAGATTCCCATGATGGTATAATTAGAATTAATTAAATATAATTAAGGTTTCTATCGTTTCAGGGCCCTGCAAGAACAAACTGCGTTGCGGGGAGCAGCAGGTACCACAGAAGGTTGCGGCATTCCGGACCGCGGATGGTCAGGTGCGGCTGACTGGGGTCCAAACCAATGCAGCTTGGTTAGGGGCCAAATAATGCCATATAGCATTTTATATCTCTATAACTCTAATAACCTATTTAATTTCATTTATATCTATATATCCATGACCTGAGTTGACCTGATATATCCATCTCTCTCTCTATATATATATATATTACACACACACACATATATATATATATATCCATACGTTCATTTGGAGCTTTGATTGGATGATGATACTAATGATGACGCTGACGATGATGATCTATCCTTTCGCCTTTCGCACTTCTCATTAGCCCACCTTCCTGGCCCGGCTGTGCGCCACCTTGCAGCGTGGTGATTTGATTGGTGAGTGATGCATAGGTGAATATGGAGGTTTCCATCAATGGGGGTACCCCAATAGCTGGATGGTTTATTTCACGGAACATCCCAAAATCAAATGGATGATTTGGGGGTACCCCCACTTCAGGAAACCTCCATATTTGGCAACGACCGCACCCCCCTCCATTTTTAAAAACACCTTGTATCCTATGTTTTGAACCTTGACGTATTTTTTTGTTACCCTTGGACCTTGCCTCACTACCTTCTTTTTTAACCTTGTGCCTTCTCTTTCTAACCTTGCACTTTTGTTGTCCAGCTTTGCGCCCTTTTTCTCTAACTTTGCCCCTCTTCTGCAAGGGGTAGGAAGACAGTTTAGACAGTGGATAGCCATTGCATGATAGCATTGGTGGAAGTACCCATGGACAAAACTTTTGGCAGAGCCTCCGATTCGAAGTTTTGATGCTCAATTGTCATGACTCCTCAAAGTACTGCAGAGGTATAGTAATAGTATGTAATGTGGTAGGCCCAACAATATTAAATTCACCATTTTGGCCATTGTGGGATGGTTTATGCAACCCATTTGTATCCATTTATGGTGATTTTGGGGATTGTTTATTTTATGGCAACATACAATGCATCAGCTGCTGAGCCCCTGAGCACCCCAGTAGGCGGTTCCCCAAACGACAACAAACCTGGCCCTTGAGTGGTGGATTTTGTGTTCTACCTCGTCAACAACGCAGATGTTGATCAATGCCTCGATTTGGATGATATTTCGATGATACGGAACATCTTTGGAACATATTTCGAACATCTTTGGAACATATATATATATATATGATTGGTGATTGATGACTAATCGTGAGTTGGGATCAGTGATCCCCTTTTTTTGTGCCGGGCGATGGCGAGCAAAACAGGACGTCTTCCGTCGGCGGCGATCCAGCGGATCCCGCCGCAGCTTGCTATTGAAAATAGCCATAGAAATAGTGGATTTTCCCATGAAAAATGGTGATTTTCAATAGTTATGTTAGTTTACCGGAGGGTATATATGATGTAGTATATTTGTGATATATTTTGGGATTTATTGGGTAATATCACATATACCAATATATTACTATATATTTATAATATTTTGATGATGTAGTATAATATATAGCGCATATTGGGATTTTCATAATCCATGAACATCCATGAAAATCCATGAGCCAAAACCCATGCGCCAGGCCTTTGACGTCCCCGGCTACGTGGCTGGGCTTTTCCAGCGATCCATCCGAAGAGCGGAGGCGTGGAGATGGTTGTTACGGTAAGGGATGAACTTTTCGTTGTTCAACACTCACATGTAACAAGTGTAATAACTATGGATTTTTAAACACACACGCACATGTATATTTATACATATATATATATATTTATTTATTGATTGATTGATTTTATTTATTTATTTATTTGATATATGCACACAGAGGTTCGAAGTTCTCAGAAGGTGCTGAAACTCAAGTGCTCTGTGTTGGGTTCAGGACTTTGAACTTCACGATCAGGCCACGGAGGGAGAAAAGGGGAGTCGTTGACAGCTGTCTTCAGCCAGCTGGTTGACCTTCACATTCGGATACACTGGGTTAAATGTGGCACTTCTCTATCAGACATCCTGCAATTAGCGCCAGAGTCTCGCAACACATGTCCCTGGTACTCTTGATGTATGGCTGGGTTTTAGATATGGTGTATCAACCAAACGTGGATGGGTTGATATGGGTTGGGTATCTAGGTAGTTTTTGCCTTATAAGGCAGACATTGCATATACCAGGCCTGCGACTATTTTTAAAGAAGGATCATCTAGATTGGCCAGGTATATCCAACACCTCTGATTGCATGCCTTGAAAAAGGGAAACAACTCGACTGTTGGTTCTGAATATGTTGTTTGATTTCTATGGCTTAAGCCTGGGATGATTGGCCCTTATTTTCTGGTGCCCGGGTGGCTACAAACCCCTTTTAAGACCAAGACTCTTCCTGTAAAGCTTCGTTTGCATCAATTGACTTCGTGTTTGATTTTTTGAATCCAATTTGGTGAATTCCGGAGCTTTGCTGGTTTAAATCCTGTTCATCATGGTATGTCATGTCCAATCCATATTTTTTGCACTTTCTTTTTTGGCCAAGTCTCAACAGCATATGTGTTCCCAATGGGAGCCTTGATTGAAGGTGATTGACTCGGCGAACATCACCCAGAGCAGTTTCCTGCGCGCTCAGGCGATGCAATCAGCACAATTCATGTGGTACTGGCATTAATGTGGGTAAAACAACAATAAACCATCCATTTGGGAATGGTTCATACCACCTATTTATGGTGAAGGGGATGATTTATTATTGTTTTACCCACATTATTGTATATTAGCACTATTAGCCACATCAAATTGTTAGTGTTGGCAGTGCCACAATATGATGCATTAAACCCGCGATGCCACAGTATTGTCATGTTGTCAATTTTAGTGTTGTTAGCAAGTATGAGAACAGTATAGAACAGTAATGATGACAACAACAACAGCAACAACAACAACATCAACAACGACGACGACGACGACAACAACAACAACAACGACAACAATCAGCAACAAACCACAACAAACCACAACAAACCACAACAACCAACAACAACCAACAACAAACAACAACAAACAACAACAAACAACAGCAAACAACAACACACAACAACAAACAACAACAAGCAGCAACAAGCAGCAACAAGCAGCAACAAGCAGCAACAACAACAACAACAGTAACAGTAATAGTAACAGTAACAGTATAACACACACGCACACACACACACATATATATATATATACACATGTGCTAACAATAAATAGAAATAACTTGTATTTATATATTCATAGCATCGTATAGACTACAGATATAGCCGTAAAGATCTTTCGTGCAGGAAAAGGCGGCAGCGGAATTCCTGGTGGATGAGATGACCAATGAAGCTTTGGAGGTCGACTTCCTGGGGCTTTCACGCCCCAGGAAGCTTGGGACTTAGCCGACTTAGCCATAGGCAAAGGTTAAGCTATGGCACATTTATGAAATCATGATGGGGGTACTTGATACAATGGGGATATGATAGGGATATAATGGGGATATGATAGGTTTTTTAAAGAATGACCTGGGGAATCCTGGGGATTTACCAAATTTATCCAAGGTTTCATAGGGACTTTGTGGGGATACAACTGGGATAGAATCAACTAGTATGAATTGGGTGTGTCTGAAAATGGGTAATGACATGTGAACAGATGGACAATTAATCACGAAAGGTAGCTCCAGTGGTGCTACCTTGAGTTTAGCTTTACGAAGTAAAGGGGAGACCTGATTATTCAGGCGATTGCTGTTCATTTTAGATACCCCCCCCCTCAACCCCTTAACCAACCCTAAAAGCAGATCTCAAACACTACGTATATATATATATATATGCGCTGTTTGCACACTAAGATGCCCACACACACACACACTTTTTTGACACACGTGCATATATGATCACTCACGCACACATATACATAAACGTACAAGTGCTTGTTCATGCAGAAGGGTATATCTATATCTATAGAATCCATAGCCATTTACACACACACATAGATGCACACACAGTTATGTTTTCATATATTTTCATGTTTGAACGTTGTAAGATGTGGTTTGGTGCTGGTGCTTTACCCCGCAGGTGTTATCGCACGGGGAGGCGCGGTCCCTGATGAACGACACCCAGGCCAGCTGGCCCTCGACCGGTGCCTGGTGGCAAGCGGGTCTGTGACGGTCAGTCCTCGAAGGATTGGTGGAGAGATGGGTGGTGGGATTTATACGTGTATATGCTGTAATTGTGTGCATTAATATATGCATATTTTTCAACATTTAAACGCATAGCAATAGTGTTAAGATCATACACATATTACGCTTTTGATGTGATGTATGGTTTGTTGTCAAAACCAGAGGTCCCAAGAAACCTTAATTCCACAGCCTGCAACGTCTCACCGGACAGACCTCTGACAGCTGTGTCCAAGACACCGGCGGTCGGAGTTTGCAGCTCCAATCGAAAAAAAAATCCTGTTGTTCCTGAGCGTCTCAGCACATTAGTAAAGTAATCATGCATGAACATCAACAATCGTGGATTTTATAACACTTTTGACGATTCATTTGGTGGCCCCTTGTTTGGTGTGTGTTGTGAAACATCTCATTTTTGTTGGGGGGGATGTCGCCAGCTGTTTTGGCCCTGAAGCTCTGGCTGAAGCTCTGGCTGTATGGGGCCGGGCCATTGTAGCCGTGGCACAGCTCAGCAATTTGGGAGAAGTCCCACAGGCCCCAGAAATCACAGCACTTGACTCTCAGCCCCATCAGCAAATCACCACAAAATGATTTGACAGAACATGCCACAGCAGTAATTACAGTCACAGAAAGCATCTTCAAAGAGAAACATACCAATCATTATCCACTGGAGGGTGGGAAGGGCATTTACCAGATATCACATCCTGACCACCACACGTTTATTACATAGAATCATTAGGAGTTACACACAAAATCCAGAACACACATATATGATCATCAATATATATATAATATATATATATATATAGACACATACAAATATGATATATACATATATACACATGATATGTATATATATATATATTATATACCTATGATCTGCCGAGAATTTCGACCTTTCACCGCCATGCCGGGCGCCCCCAGCAGCGCCGCCGCCAAGGCGGCGCTGCAAAAACAGCAGGCGCTGCAGGCGCAGCAGGAGGCGGCCGAAGCCGAGCAGCGCCGCCGTGCCGAGGCCAAGGCCTTGGCGCAGCAGGACGGCGTCAACAAAATGGTGCCAGAAATGGTGGATTTCTATGGATTTCTATGGATTTCTATGGATTTCTATGGATTTCTGTGACTTTTCTGTGGCTTCATGTGGATTTGGCCATAGTTTATCACTAGAAATGGTAGGTTTTGGATGATATTTTGATGATTTTTGATGGATCTTTTGCCTGGATTACTTGACTAAGAATGTGAAGTTATGAGATGGCGGATGTTTAATATTGTTTAATGATTTTAGCACCAAAACAGGATTTTCACAATGATGCGATCTTTAGCATGTTTTCCCATCACTGAGTTAAGCATGTTTCAAGCACCAAAAAGGAGTTAACATGAGTTAACCATCAAACATTAACCATCAAACACATTTTACCCGTTGTGAAAAAGCAAACTATATAGGCCCATATAGGATATATAAGTGGTTGTGCAAGGGATTCAACTGTATGACATGCGAGAATTGCCATGTTTTTGCCATCAAACGGCATGGACAATTGTGGTTGAACATGGGTTAAGCATCAAACATTGTGATTTTAAGCGTTAAAATTCGGAGTTTACCTTCACACATTGTATTCCGGATTTAACATCAAATGTAGCCGTTTCATGCCGTTCCATATATATTTTTAAATAAATTGGTGTTTCTTTTTCGTAATTCTTTGCTGTGAACCATCTGGATTTAGCATGATTCAAGATGATTCAAGCATGAAAACATTGGAAAACTGAATAAAGCTCAGGGACATTTTTTAAGATAACCCACGCAGGAAGCGCAGCAGTTGGCATCGCAGAGGGCGCAGAATCAAGGTGGATGATGGGTTGGGGATGGAGTTTCCTCACACGCAAACTGATAAGATTTGTCAAGAAATGTCAAGGATTGGGATAATGATTAACCAACAGTATCCAACAGTAGTTGGGATTTGCGGCAAAAAATCTGGTATAACATGAGGGTCGATGAGGAGTTCAACCAAGAGGAAGAGCGCCATAGATTGCGGACCTCGCCGTGTTTCAGGCGACCTCATTTCAGCAAACTGCTATGCCAATGACGCGGCGGAATACTTTGGAGAGAACTTTGCCCATCGCTTGCGCTGGGCTCATGCCGTGAACAGCCTGCGGGTGCTGCGACAAGCCTTGTGTTCCAATGCTCATTTTGTTGAGGCCGACGTGTCTGCGGGCACCCTGATGGAAGAGAAACAGGACCCAGCCAGCGAGTCGCCCAAGAATGCAGCCACTGCAGAGACCTCAGTGGCTACGTCTTCCAAGATTCCCATCATCATGGCGCACTACCCGACTCAACGTTCTTCGGATCTGTCTTTCGAGCTCTTTGTGGCGGCAGTGTTGAAGCACAATGCGCAGGCAGAGTTGTCAGCCTTGTTTTCCATTTGGCTTGTGGGACCATGCCTCTGAACCGATGTAGAAATGATTAGAAACTCACCAAACAGCGGTTCCAGCCTTCAAACAACTCCCTTCACCATGTCAGGGGAATCACCAGAACATCAGGGTGATATAATTCACACACACAAATAGAATTATATATATACTGTATATATATATATCCTAATTCATATTCAATCGGTTCTTCCAGCCAAAAACCCAGCAAAAACCCATGAACATCCGAAGAGCCCAGGTGGACGGCGACGGCCTCGACAGCCTGGAGAACACCGCGGACGCGCCGCTGGAGGCCCCGACGGCGACCGAGGTCCCGACGGAGGCCCCCACGGAGGCCGAGGCCGAGGCCGAGGCGTCGCCCAAGCGGTCGCCCTTCTCCGAGCCGGTGCTGCACCAGGAGCAGGAAGAACCGCTGGTGAGGAGCGCCAGTGCCATTGAGACAAGGCAAAAGTTACCTTGTCACGAGGCCGAAAATTGGAAAATGGGAAAAACCTGGGGAAAACCTGTGAAAAAAAGAATTGGCATGACTTTGCTAAGTGGTGACAGGAGTTTGAAGCTTTTTCTAGCCTGTTTTCATCACATCAGATAGATTTTCACCATCACATCGTCACATGGTTCACAATGTTTTGAAACTGGATCGATTCCAACCCAAACCCCAGCACTTGGCAAAACGAACCTTCATCCCCACCAGTTCCAATATCAAATGCGTAACACATTCCTTCGGTCCATTTCGGTTCATGAAAAAAAATCTTTCATGATTCTTACATATATATTACATATATTTATCCTCATTTATCGCACTCATTTCCATCCATTTCCACTAGCTGCTTCCAACCCTTCCAACCCTTAAAAAAAACCCACATCTCCGTCCAGGCGGAAGCCTTCGCTGGGGATCTGCACCGAGAGTTAGCGGCCTCAAATCATGACCCCATGATGATGGCCTGCATCGGGGCCCGGAGAGGCATCAACGGCCTCAGGCCCCGGAGCTTCTCAAAGAAAGGGGTGCCTTGGGACCGAAAACTGATTGGGGAGACACCAACTAATTGTGGGGTGCCCAAAAGCACCAACCTTTGAGGTTGTGTGTTTTGATATTATTTGACATCAAAATTTGATAAAATTTGGATAGATGAACAGATTCAACTTTCAAACAGTGAAGTTCATTTTTCTGTTGGGATGACGTGCTCTGCTGATGCAGAAGATCTGATGCCTTCTACACTACACTTTGGATCACTTTGGCACAAGAAAGCCTGGTTGTAGTCAAATCTGTCAAAAGACATTGTAGTACACAGTTTTCCTTTCTGGATATGATGCAAGGTCAAGTTGGACTTCAAAGTTCTGGAGTGCGTCGAACCAGCCCTAAGGCACTTGCACAGTGTATTTTGGCGTGAGTTCAGATCTTGCCTGGTGCATGAGGGTCTTCCATTTGAACACCTCTTGAAAGTGCCATAGTGGTCTTTGTTAAACTAAGAACGCTTATGCATATTGTTTGGGGATGTTTGGAGATATGGCCCTTGGTCCAAGACAATCCGCGTGAATTTAAACCGGTCCAGTACTTTGGATTCTCTGCGATCTGCCTGGCTTTTGCGAAAGACCAAAGACCAACAGCCCAGCAGTTGCCAGATGTTGCCAGCTGTGTCACCCAACCCTCAGGTCGATGCGGCAAAAAAGTTGGGCGGACACCTCTGGCTGAACGCAGATGTCTTTGCGGGGCCTGGCTATCCTGAGCGCTTCCTGTCGCCCATAGATGCAAGGCACAGGGTAAATGGTGCAGTGGGAAGGTCAGATTGGTCTGCTGGTTGTTTCTCAAAAGAAAGGGGACCCCAAAATCATTCAAAAGAGGTCATTTATGGTCATTCAGTACGGAAACCCATGCTTTTGGGGCACCCCGATTCTTGGAAACACCCAGTTGGCCAGGGGTAACTGTGTCGATTACTTTGCAATTTGCATCGGGACTGACGGATGTTTTTTCCGGTGGTCACCTTTGGAAAGCACCAGCGCTGATGTCATGCGTCGCTGGGAAACTGCGAGCTTGATGACAACAGCATGGCACAAGATTCATAACACTCAGAAATAATGGAACAAAGTACTCAGTTTGTCTTGGTGTTCGCTCTTTGAAGTCATGAAGAGGTTGAGACCAGGCCCAGGATAGAGTGTTGAATGGTTGCGGTGATAATTTCGGCGATGATGATGATGATGATGATTATGATGATGATGATGATGATGATGATGATGACGACGACGATGATGATGATGATGATGATGACGACGACGATGATGACGATGATGCTGATGCTGCTCATGATGATGATGATGATGATGATGATGATGATGATGCTGATGATGATGATGACGACGACGATGGCAGGATGACAATGATGACGATAGTGGCGGCGGTGGTGGTGATGATGTTGTTTGCAGTGATGATGTTTTACATACTGTATTGTGCTACCGTTCTTTGGATCATTTAAGAAGTCATCATGATATAGCAATATAGGTTATATAATATAGCAATTATAGCGAAACTAGTGATAACTGTTGCTCCAGGAACTTCGTACAGCTTTGCGCAGAGCTTGTACCAGAGGCCGTGCTATCCCTGAGCCGCAGCTGCACTCGGGAGGCTTTGCCAACGACTTCCCACGATCCCCTCCAAAAATGTTTTCGAACCCGAGTCATGGACATAAATTGACATACATGATACATATCTAATTATGATACAATCTGATAGTTTGACTTCCGATTTCCGAGACAAGGAGCTGGGGCAGCTCATCCTTGTCAGCCACCAGGTGAGATCCTGACCCCCAAAAAATGGAGAAGCTAATGGTCCCCAAAGAGCCATCCACTATAGATTCGGGGAACATGTCTATGATTTGAATTGATTTAAGGGATGGGGAATGTTCATTCAACACTGGTGTTAGCCATCACACTCAAATCCATGATTTCAATTGATTCCCAAGGGTTTGGATGGATTTGGGAGCCATTTCTGGGCGACGGGTTCGGGTATTTTTGTCACCTACCGATGTTGCAGCACAAGCCAGTCCGATGCAGGTGCTACACGCCAGACATGGTGAACCGCCGCTTGGCCATGTTGCCTCAATGGGGTCAAGTGCGTGTGGCTCATGTAGTTCCAATATGTTCCAAGAGTCTAACATATCCTGAAATCTTGACCCATGCCCATACAGCAATATTATGCCTTTGTTTAATAATGGAGGTGCCCCAAAATTCAATGCGTTTTTTTTTGGCCTTACCAGCCTTACCATCAGTTCCCCACGTAAAAGGCATAATTTGGGTCAGACAAAGCCATATGTTTGTTGCTCCCGTGTGGCCTTGTCGTGGTCCCACCGTTACGCCATGGCCCTGATGCCGCTGGCAAGGCATGATCGAGCTGTGCATGTCACCCATCGTGCCACGACCGATCCGCCCCGCCGCAGCGGTGCGGGGCTGAGTTTTGAAGATTATGGGAAAACCATGGGAAAACCATGGGAAAACCATGGAAAAAAACCTCAATCTGGTTGATCTTCCTTTTCCATTCTTTTCCATCCTTTTCCATATTTCAATGATTCAATGTTTCATTTTTAATGAACACAATCGCACCCAGGCACGACCAAGTGTGGCGCCGACAAGCAGGGCATCCCAGACTCTGTCTCCAAACTTGGCAAAACACAGTGGGCCAAGACTGGCCAAGTGGGTAAAACTTCGGTCATTTGAAATCAAAATAATGCAAAATAATGCTCTCCAAGGGTTGCTATAGCTGATATAGATGATGTTAAAGCAAAAACAAACCTCCAATTCAGTCCAATGACAATGTCATCATGTGCCAGGGGTTGCATTTTCTTTTCAGCCCAGGTGAGGAAAATGATATTTATCTCACTCCCGCATCTTGGCGTTGGAAGATATTGGAAGCTCCTTGCTTTCGGTTTCGGACTCATCCCTTAAATGGTTGGGCCCGGGGTATCCTCCACTGTTGGGGGGGTTTCACCAACCTTTCCTGGAACAATTGTTGGTTTTCAGCGGGAAAAACCGGGTCTCTTTCCGCCCTGGAACTATCGACATGTTTTTCCCCACCCTGACAGTGAGTTGTAAATAAAAAGCACGATGGACCACAGACGTAATCTATTTCTAATATTGACCATCCAACTATTGGGGTACCCAAGTTTGGCCCATACCCATTTGTTAGCGTAGCATCATAGCCATCACGCAGAGCACAGGAACGTTATTAGCTCCACCCCACCCACCCCGCCGTAACATGACCGAAGCATACCTTGTACAACATCCAAATGCACAGCAAGAACAACAATGACCAAAAAATGTCAACCCTTCTGGAGCGGCGAGTCAGCCGATAGCCGAAAACAACGTCCATTCTTCAGGTTTTTTTGACGACTTGACCTGGGTGTGTTTTTAGTTGGTTTCGATGTTTTTTCCTTCCAGTTGTTTCCATTTTCCATCCTGAAGACACTAGGAAGATGGTGATGTATGTTCCATAATCTTTTCTTATCAAATATACTACTATAGACTTACCGTTCAACCCCAATTATTTATCCCGGCAAGAGACACCCCACAGTGTGTGGGAAGTAAATGGAAACTGTATTATCATGTTGATGATGATGTTGATGTTGATGATGATGATGATGATGATGATGATGCTGGTGATGATGATGATGATGATGACGATGATGATGGTGGTGATGATGATGATGATGATGATGATGAGAAGAAGATGATGATGTGAATGTTGAGGAGGAGGAAGATGATGATGTTGAGGAGGATGATGCTGAGGAGGAAGACCGATCCCAAGACCGGGAAGCGCACACCTTGTGCGAGCCTGCGCAGACGAAATGCACATGGACATGTCACCAGAGGCATTTTGTGCGGAAATTCTCAGGGAAAATGCCGTACGCGTATCCCGCGGCAAGCATTTTGCGCGAGCTTGCGCAGTCGAAATGCACATGGACATCAAGAGGCATTTTGTGCGGAAATTTACAGGGAAAATGCCGGACGCTTCCGATGCCACCTCGATTGAACACCGGCCCCTAACTGTGACCGTAAGAACTCTAAATGCCGGACGAGTATCCCTGTGCAAGCATTTTTTGCGCGCCTGCGCAGTCGAAATGCACATGGACATGTCACAAGCGGCATTTTGTGCGGAAATTTTCAAGTAAAATGCCGTACGCGTATCCCTGGGCAAGCATTTTTTGTGCGCCTGCGCAGTCGAAATGCACATGGACATGTCACAAGAGGCATTTCGTGCGGAAATTTACAAGGAAAATGCTGGACGCTACCGCTACCACGTCGATTGAGCACCGGGCCTTAACACTTACAATACCATCACTTACCGTAAGAACCCCTTCAGTGTGGCCACACTGTTTGTGGGAAAAACATGGTTAACTTTCAATTTTGGCTTGTTCAACCCCATCAATTCCCATTCAATCACTCAACCACCATTAAATCACCATTAAATCACCATTAAAGCATCACCATTTTTGGCTTAAGTCAACGCCCATGATGGCCATCAACCAGCTGGAATCGAGGCCGCCTCCTGTCAGCATATCACCTTCGCAGTGGCCGCAGAATATGCCCTGAACTCCTCGCAGCTGCTTATCTCAGCGAAAAATGGATGGCATGTGGCCATGGGCGAAGAAAACCATCAGAAATGGTGGGGTTTCTTCAAAAACAGATGGTATAGTTATAATGTCACCCAAAAAGCAGATGGATCAGATGGTATATGATAGTATAATTATTCAATATTATTTATGGAGATTTTTGATGATCAATGGGGTGACTCGCCAAGAAATTGGCGATTTCATCGGGATTTGCTGGATGATTACCCCCGAGCAAACGTTTACAGAAACTTATGGAAATCCAGTCGTTTCCCTTTTACAGTCGATTTTCCATACCATTTGGTTGGTGTACTGGAGCGTACATCTTCAAAAAATTGCCCTTTGCTAATCCACTATGCAAATTCCAGCATGTGCGTGTGATCTGTCGGAAATGATTTCAAAATTAGGGCGCATTTTTTTGGATGGGAACCTCATAGCACATCATGGGCATCCTGAAACTGAATGTTTAAAGAGCACATGTTTCAGCCATATTTGTTTCCGCCAGGTTAGGTCCCAGTTTTTTTCACCCATGGAACAACCATGAACAACCGTTGATTTGGAGACCCAGAAGCTTCCAAGCGCCATCCGATGGAGATTAGGAACCTGGTGAAACTTTTGGATGCAGTGCCTGGATCTTCTCTCACCATTTTTTCAGGCCACGTAGTGCTGGGCTTGTGGCGATGCCAGTGGCAGGGAGATTGTAGCTGATTTGGGTTTGGGATGTGTATTTTTCCGTCGGTTTTTCAAATTTTCGCTGGCGAAATGTCAATGATTTTCTGTTCCCGATTCCGGTTGAATCTGCCAAGTTGGTGGTGGGGTGTTGAAGGAAGCACGGGTTATTCATTCAATTGATGATTTTGCAGCCGCAGTTCCCAACAGTGTCGGATTTCGTGATGTGGAAAGGGGCTCGTGCAGGTGTGGGATCTTTGGGCATTCCGCCGCGGACCATTCAGGACTGGGGGGTGGCCCATATACGACATTACGTGGGGAAGTTCCAATTACACCCCACATATGGCAATATCACTTCTTTGCAATCCTTCACATTACCCTTTGGTAATCCAACATAGCCACAGAACCAATGGGTGATCATCTGCCAATGGGTGATTTTCGATGTTTATGTTAAATCAGAGGGACAAATTCCATTTTGTTAGATCATGCTGGAGACAAAAACGAACTGCAAAGAACACGGAACCGGAACAGCCACTCGACTCATCTGGCTGAAGCCACGCATCTCCCGCAGAATTCAAGAGCCCTCAGCTTGGCTGGCCAAATCCACGAAGATTTTGACCCGGAAGATCCCGAATTATATCAATTTTAGAGATGCACCAAAAAATCACCAGCTAAAATCACAATTTTTAGACATCGCAGCTTTTGGTCATGATTTGCGCAAGGAGATCATCACCACCTATGGCACCACTCGGTTGTTTCTGGATTTGCGCGTGACCAAGCCCTGTCGCACCTGTTCGCAGGGAGGAGTTTGCAGCACCATGTGACCCCTCTGGAGTTATCCAGTGAGACCTGGCCAT